GAAAGCAAAACTATGCGCGGCCGAGGGCGCCCAGGGCTCGCGCGGCACTGGAAACCGGCTTCTGCCCATTAACGGGAGTCCAGTCCAAAATCCGAAGGGTGACAGGCTCTTCTCGCGCTCTTCCACTCTTCCTTCCTTCCTTCCTTCCCACGCCACGCACCGGCTCGCCGCCACGCTGCCCTTCGGGAAGGAAACGTCTCCCCTCTCCAAAAGTCCCAGCTTCTTCCAAGAACAATGACTCCAGCCCCGCCAGCCCTCCCCGCTGCCACGTCCCCGTGTTGGGGGGGTCCCCTGGCAGCCCCCAGCCCTGCGGTCCAGGGATGCCGGGGAAGGAGGTGCTCCCTGTGCCCCACAGGATCGCTGGACTCCCGGCGCACGCGAGCAGCCGGCCAACAGCCCCCAAGTGCTATTTCGGTGAAATGCACTTCAGCTCCAGCCAGAGGAGCCTATAGATCCCTATCTATATATTTATATAGGCACTTGCTCCATAGGTTTCCCGTTGCTCCAGGGGTTACTTCCAGCAACATCCCCCAAGTGCAGGGCTTAACAGCTTCTTACCGAGCTGTCAGTCATTCTTCCCGCAGCACGTACTGTGCTCTCTCCTCCAGAGTGAGGATGACAAGGGTGATGAAAGGCATTTTTGTTGCTATCCCCTCCTGGCCAGATGGGGAAAAAAAAATTTTCCTTCCAGCTCAGCTTTCCATGCAAAGGATGGGTCCCCCCGCACAGCGCTACTGCACAGCATCTGAAGTCCAGCCAGCAAAGGCTGGAGTCGCCATCCGACCCCAAATGATGGTGAAGGATGTATCAGACCCTGCTTGTGGCCTCCCTGCCCTGACACCGGCTCCAAAAGCTGGAAGGAGATGAGGATTTGGCCCCAAATTGCAGGGAGGTGAGATACCCCAGGGCTCTCTGAGCCAACAGATTCAGTGGAAGTCGTTGGTCTTGATGTGGCCGGGATGTCACATGAAGAAAACCAGCGACTTGGAAGCTGCCACCTTGCAGGTCTGGGTGGCTGCGAGCCCTCTCCGGGCGTGCCGGAGAGAAGTTCTTGTACGGAGAAGCCAAGCGGTATCGGAGTCCCAGTGGGGCCGGTGGGATGCAACAGGCCACGTGAAATCTTGGACTCAAGGCCGGCAAGTGACTCCAAAATCTATCCCTAGCCTGCTCCTGGTTTGGATGCTCGGCCACCCCAACGCTGCAGCCCACCTTGGCCAGCTCGCAGGAGGATGCTCAGCACGTCCCACCAGCCCACCCACCAGCCCCGGGGCTCTCCAGGGCCAGGCAGAGCACGGACCAGAAACCCCAAATCCACCTTCGCACAGCGCAGCAGCCGCCATCCATAGCCAGCAGGCACTCTTCCCCCTCTCCGAACATTTCTTGGGCTGCTGTGGGTCAACCCAAATGGTGCCTTTTGCTGGCAAAATGCCACCGGCAAAACCGAGTATTAAACCGAGACAAACCCCATCTCCGGAGGGACGCACGACGACACCGTACCACCTCCCTGCCACGAACCCGAACGCACATCTACGGCCGGGCGGTGCTGGGGAGGGGGAATCCAGTGTTTTCACCCAAACATTGAGGGCTTTGGACACCGAGGAAATGTAAGCAGGTTTTTTGGCAGAGAAGCCAACTGGCCTTTTGCCCCAACTACAGCTGTGCAGGATTTTTTACAATGCACACTAACTCGCACACATTTAAGTCTGCGCTTCCCTCCAGCTCCCAGAGTTATCCCAAATAATCTGCTGCTACGAAAAAATGGAGGGTAGCACAGACAGGCAGTCGAGCTAGCTAGAAACAGATATGATTCAAACAGGGATAAAAATATGACAATTTTCTGCCTCGTTCCCAGCTTCCAACCCTCCTATACCCCAGATATAAAACCTCCATGAAGTTTTTAACCATGCTGGCCCTGCAGACCTGAAAAGCCCCGGCTCAAGCGGTGGGTGCCATGGTGGGAGCAACCTCGCCTGCCTGGCAGGGCGCACCGTGCTGGGCCTCTCCTCTCGGATGCCTTTGCCAGTGACAAAATCTGGCACAGCGAGAAAATTCGATGCGCTTGCAAGTTTTCCCTGCGCTCTGTTCACAAGGGCTTTGCTGGATTTGGAGCTGTTTGCCTCCCAATGCTCCTCCCGGCTCGCAGCCATGCCCCAGCCTTGCGGGGCGCTCAGCATCCAAATCCTGCGGAAAATGGCCTGGCAGTCTCCAAGCACCAAGCCCTGGGGCGCCCATCTGCCACCCGGGGGGAGGAGGAAAAGGGGCTGGGGGGATTTTGCTCATTAATTAGGGACTGGCTGGCCCCGCCCCCGCCCCGCTTTCCGGGGGCATCCCAAGCCGAGGGGATGCAGCGAGCAGCCCCAGCTCTGCATGCATCAACGCTGGGGAAGAAGAGGCTGCTGCTATCGCAAAAGTGGAGGCAGCACCTTCCCCCAGTCAGCCGAAATTAAGCTTTTAGCTTTGCAAAAGGAGGCTGGAGCTGGGCAGACCTCCTCCGAGCTGCACTGACATCCATCCGCCTCGCGTGCAGCAGAGCCAGCCCATCCCATGGCCGGGTACCACGGGGACCCCATCCCGCCTGGCAGGTGAGTCCCAGCCCCCCTACGCCCGCCAGTGCTTGGACTCGTCAGGACACATCCCAGGCTGCCAGGGCCCCGGGGCC